GACAGACAGACAGACAGACAGACAGACAGACAGACAGACAGACAGACAGACAGACGACAGCTGTGGAACAATTGAAGCTCGCAAGTACCCCAACAACAATAACAACAACCCAATAAACGACAACATTATTCTTTTTGATGAAACGTATGCAGTAGATAAAAACGTGAACGCCCGCGCCCATCCAGTTTTAGTACGAGTTTTACGGCACTTGCAACACAATAAGGTCATATAAGTGCTGAAGATTAGAGGAGTTACAAGAGAGTAAGAAACACAAATTAGAAGGAGAGATAAGGACGATAGATACAACGTAGATAACCATCCTGCGTGCAGGCTGCTGTAAGGAATCCTGCCCACCTGGGCCAGTCTATGTTAGTTTTAAGTCAGCGTATTACGGCACTTGCAACAACACTCGAAGATCATAATAAATGTGCCAAAGATTATAGATGTTACAAGAGAGTAACAAACACAAAAAAGAAGGGAGAGAGATAAGGATAATACATCATGTTTATGTTTGATAGGAAAGAAGGTGCAAATCACACCAGAGAACCCGTCAACCACCCTCTAAGGTACTGATATTGCTTATCCCCACCAGCACTGACCTCGTTGACCCCACCAGCCTTGACCTTGCTGACCCCACCTGCCATGACCTTGCTGATCACACCAGTCATGACCTTGCTTATATTATCCCCACCAGCACTGACCTCGCTGATCCTACCAGCCCTGACTTTGCTTTTCCCCACCAGCCATGACCTTGTTGACCCCACCAGCCCTGACCTTGCTGACCCCACCACTCATGACCTTGCTGATCACACCAGTCGTGACCTTGCTTATATTATCCCCACCAGCGCTGACCTCGCTGACCCTACCAGCCCTGACCTTGCTTATCCCTACCAGCCCTGACCTTGCTTATCCCTACCAGCCCTGACCTTGCTTATCCCCACCAGCCATGACCTTTCTGACTGACCACACCAGCACTTAGATCCCAATAAAGGTGCCGAAGATTAGAGGTGTTACAAGAGAGTAACAAACACAAAACAAGAAGGGAGAGAGATAAGGACAATATAATATGTTTAATAAGATGTTTGCTGACCCCACCAACCCTGACCTTTCTGGCTGACCCCACCAGCGCTGACCTTTCTGGCTGACCCCACCAGCGCTGACATTGCAGACCCTGTAGAGTACTGTACTATTGTTTTATTATGGTTATGTGCACAGATTGATGTGTGTGGAAGAGAGGATGTGAGAGGGAAGAGTGTGTGTATGTATACGCGTGTGCACGACATATGCATGCACATTCGTGTGTGCATGTTTGTGTGTGTGTATGTGTGTGAGTGTGTGTGTGTGTGCGTGCGTGCGTGTGTGCGTGTGCGTGTGCGTGTGTGTGTGTATGTGTGTGTGTGTGAGCGTGTGTGTGTGTGTGCGCACGCGCGTACGTGCGTGGTGAAACACCAAACCAATACTCCATAGGAACTGGACAAATAAAGATGTATCTCATCCTATCTCATCTCATCTCATCGTATTTTACCTCATCTCTTAAATCTCATCTCGTTTTATCTTATCTGTACTGACCTTGCTGCAGCGTGATGTAGGCCTGGGCCAGCCGCAGGACGCTGGACCTGTCCAGGTCGCCCGAGTCGCCCAGCTTGGGCGCGTGCTTGAGGAGCGCCTGCGCGTAGTTGTACTCGCTGCTTTCGTTGGGCCTCATGCCAGCGGACGCTGCGCCGGGCACGCTGCCTGCTGCACCACCCGCAGCACCTCCTGCACCTCCGCTGTGGTGCATGTTGATGTTCTTGGAATTAGTCGGGTCGCCCATGTCGCACAGACTCGCCAGCTCTGACCTCATGGAATTTTCTCTGGAGGCACAACAACAACAAAAAGATACCTTTAAAGTTTTAGTTAAAGAGTTTTGCGGCACTTGCAATACAATAAGGTCATATTATAAGTGCCGAAGATTAAAGATGTTTTAGTTTTTGTAAGTTTTTTCACGGCAGTTGCAACACAATACGACCATATTATAAGTGCCAAAGATTAGAGTTGTTACAAGAGAGTAACAGACACAAAGAAAAGCGGAACGAGAGATAAGAAGAACGATAAATGTTTGACAGGAAAGAAGGAGCAAGTCACACTAGAGTACCCGCCAACCACCCGCAAAAAATACAGTCAAACCTGCTGTACCAGTCACCTGTATAAGACGAAGGAGAAAATGAAATGTGAAATGGTAGAGGTTTAACGCTCTCTGTCAACACTATTAGTTTATATAAAAGGCAAGACCTCAGAGTTGAACATCCAATCTCCAAAAAGACCGAGCCAAACAGAACATTCGTGTGAAGTGCCTTTTCCAAGGGCCCCGCGTTGGATTGAGTTACGGCTCAACCCCCACCCCCAC